AGATGTTAAAACATTTCATCTCACTAGATAATTTTAATAACTAAGTTTAATATTGTGCATAAAATTTCTAGTGACTTAGCATACAGTAGGCACTGGACAATTTTTAGTTTGCTTTTCTTTGTTGACAGTTCATAGCAACATATATTATAGAAGCCGGTTCTTTAGGAACCTGATGTTTAAAACAGGAGGCAGCAGACACAAGAGATGCTGTATTTTGTGGTCATTCAGTAACTAAATTTTTTCAAAGCTCAACTTTACTGTGATGGTAACTCTTTGGAGTTGATAGCAGTGATAATTGTTTTATGGTTCAAAAAGTAACAGCTATGATATACTCACATGCTTGCTGTGTGAGAGAGAAATCAATAGGCACTTGTGCTTTTTAAATTTACATCTCATAGCAGCACTACAGTGCTTTAATGTAAAGTCTCATCAATGAGTGGAAGGGTTTTCAGTGTGAAGTTTCAGGCTGTGATACAAAGATGCAAGAAATGTTTCTGTTTGAATACATTTATGACAATTTATTATGCCAAGTCTCAGTAATGAGGCCAAGGCAGGAGAAAAAGGAGGGTGGAAGAGGGGGAGGAGGACTGTGATGTGGGGAGTGAAGGAATGGAGGGACGAGACTGTCTTGTAGACTAAGCGTCAGTAACCATGGAATGCTTGGTGCCCAGGGGCAAGGAATCCAGCTGGTAATTCGGGAGACCTACGCCTGGGGTAGCCTAAACGCAGCTTCAGTTGCACTTTCATTTCATGTCACTGCCATCCCTACACGTCGTCATAGGCTGGCACTACTAAAGGGCGCTGAGTTCTGTACCCAGGGCTATATACCTGGGTCTGTGTACTTATGTTTTCCATATTACTATTCAGCTTTTGTTTTAAAATTAGAACCTTCAAAACTCCATCACACACTTACACCATGTGTGTCTTCAGCGCTGCATAGTTTAAAACCCTGTAGCAATCTCAGGATTCCCCATGGCTGAATTATCCTGCTGACATTACTTGGTAAAGCCTGGGAGCATCTGAATTCCCATTACCTTATTGGTGTGCCTCGTTAATGACACTGCTTGATTAGCATATCAGTAGTACCTTTTCGCCACAGGTAAGAAATTGAAATGTTCAAGGTCAATTAACTGCAAATGTTTCAAGTCGGTTGGTGCAGCTGTAACAGTGAGTGATGCTGGGAAGAGGGAGCGGCCAGTGAGAGACGCCTCGTGCTCCTGATGAGAATTGATGATCCAATTTTCACTCACTGGAATCATGCTGATTCTTTTTTTTTCCTCTCACTGTGCTTCTCTCATGTGTTTGTGTTTTAAATAGTGGTCTATAAAGGAATGTCAAAAGTGCCACAGAAATATTATGCAACTCTGTATTAAAAATATGCCTTTATGACCGACTTTAGACCATTAAAATTAACTAGAAAGAGCAAGAAACGAAACAACTCAGTATTTTTCTCAAAGGTGTAAGGTAATGTAGATAAAATTCCAAACATAGAAACTCCAGGGAAAGATGATGGCTGGCTAGAGGCACTTTGTCCGTTCTTTTCCCAAATTTGATGTGTAAAGAAAGAAGATAAAAAATGCAGAGAGAGTTGCAATGTATCTGCAACTATGCTACTGATATTAACCAAGCACCCTTGGTGAACATCAGACCCCAGAAACTTTCAACTTGAAGACTTTTGATAGACCTGAGGCAGAACAGTAAAAATTAGATTGGACGCTGGAGGGAAGTTTTTACCCACTCACCCCTCCCGTCATATACCCATACTTCAAAGACAAGGTCTGCTGTTAACTCTAGAGAGGGAAGACGGCCCCACTGCCAGGTAGCCAAATCCTGAAATCCCCCAGCCCTGGTTGCTGCTGTCTTTTCTCCACCCGTTATGACGCACCCACTTAACATGTCACAACAACAAGCGCACTGTGTGTCCTAATTCAGAGCACGGTGCCTCTTGCCCCTCTGCAGACTGGTGCGAGGTCTTCAGACCCTCTGTGTCTCAGCACGGTGCCCAGGGAATTAAGTAACAGTGCCTTCACAGCATGCCCAACCAAAGTACTCACTGCGTAAACACTAAGTAATACCACAGTGAGATAAGTGGAAAAGTTGGATGGAGTTTCATTACACCCTGGGAAATGAAATGTGGTGAAGGAGTTGGCTTAGATTTTAAAATAATGCTATGAGAGGAGTTTGCAGTCAGGGTTCGAGAGCTCCCTGAGCTATTTTTGGTCAGGTGCTATTTAAGGTGTTCTTCAGAGCATTCAAAAGTAAATTCTCTTCCACGTAGATAACAGACTGCATGAGAGATGCCCTTTGTGGACAGCAAAGCCGTGCTAGGTCAGGGACACCAAGGCGCTCAGATTACAGCCAGGTCCCTTGTCTACCCAGCAAGCCTTCTTACTTAAAACCTAAGAGTTTTTCCCTGTCACCTAAACATGGTAGATGGTGCCCCAAGGAACTCTACTCATCCAGGTTACCAGCCCCACCACACATTCTCCAAGGGCAGATACAGAGAAAAGTAAAAACAGACCAGTAAAAACTGCACAATCTCTAAATATTTTGGGTCCCTAAGGAGAGCATTGTACTTTCGATGTACAGACTGGAAGACACTTTTGGACAATGATTCCCTCCAAGACAGAAGGAAATTGGAAAAAAACCATCTAGTTCTAAAAACTATGCAGTAAGTAAGCTCAGGAAGCATAGCTGAATACAAGCAGGAGTTAGTGTGATGCTGTCAAGAGAGGACACTGTAGGAATAGAATTCTTTTAAAGAATGCTGTCTTGACTCATTCTGAGGTCCTGGCTGGAGCCAGGTTAGTTCCCCTTCTTGAGCAGCTGGTTATGTCCAAACCCAACCCCTCCCCTCACACCCTCTGCGGCCACTACACATCTAAACTGGTCACGCAGGAGCCAGGTGCAGATGCCTGGACACAGCCCCTGCTGCCCGGAGGCCCTGCAAATTAGCCAGTCCACGGGGAGCTCACAAAAGCTAGCTAACTCCTCCCCGCTCGCCACACATCAGCTGCCCCCTTCAGCTTCAGCTGGTCATCCTTTCTGGGGACACTTTTCCCTCCATGGTTCTGCCTGGAAATCTTCTCCTCTTTGAAGCTGTAAGTAACACAGAGTTCTGCTTTTCCTTGCTCAGAGTGTCACTGTGTTGTTTGCCACCCAAAAGATTTTTAAATCTTATTAAAGCAGGTTGTTCACACAGGCCTTTTAGGCCTCACAATGGTATGTGCTGTGCCATAATAGTAAATATTCATCGGGCATCTCTGTATTAGGGCCTGACTCAAGGTTTATAAAACAGGGCACAGATACCAAGAATAATGCTTGAATAAAAACTATATTATTGTTTTTCAGTTACTAAATTGTGTCCCACTCTTTGTGACCCCATGGACTCTTGCATGTCAGGCTCCTGTGTCTTCCACTTTCTCCTGGAGTTTGCTCAAAAACTCTATATAAATTAATGATAATCTCTATTTGAAATGTTGGAACTTATTCTTAGAGCCTCAGGTGGAAGGCAACAGAATGGGGAAAAGAAAGCATGGACTAATATTCTCATTTGGTATATTATGTAACAGATCTGCATTTAATTATATATCAAGTAATAGATAATTATGGATTCAAGAATAGGTTAAACCCTATTTAGTGACTTTTACAGAGATTATATAATACTTATAAAGTCAGCAATGTCAATATTATTTAAAGAAATTCCCTAAGTAAAGCATTATTATAGTAAACTGGATGTATAGTGAAATATCTTAACAAGACTTACAGTAGGTATCACATCTGTAATTTCTGGCATGCATTGGATAAAACAAAACACAGTAAATTCTGTTCTACCTATATTTCCTTGAATATACAGTTGACTTCCACTCTTCACTTCCGAGTGCCCAAGCACAGCTTACCCTCTCTTCTGTGGCTCTCCTGTCCCCCATGGGGTCACCACCACCCCCATTCCCAGATAGAATACAACTAGTGACGTGCTGGTGAACTGGCTGGGGTCAGAGTGAGTACTGATGTGTAGAGTTTGCCAATTTTCATGATTTAAATACTCCCACTATGGCCAGTTGCAAAGATGGCTATGTTTAATAATCATCTTATAGAATTCCTGAAAATGTAATCATCTCTTGCCCGTTGCTGCAAGCCAGTTATCACTGGATGGAACTCTCCATCACTTACTGTATCCATCACTTACTGTTCCCTGCGCCTGCCTCACTGTTAACATTTCCCAGGTTGTGTCTGCAGCATGCTTTTCAATGTCTGTTCCTCCTGTGAGCTGTGCTGTGCTCAGTCGTGTCTGGCTCTCTGCGACCCCATGGACTGGAGCCCGCCGGGCTCCTCTGTCCCTGAGATTCTCCAGGCAAGAACACTGGCGTGGGTTGCCATGCCCTCCTTCAGGGGATCTTCCCGACCCAGGAATCGAACCTGCGTCTCCTTTGTCTCCTGCATTGACAGGCAGATTCTTTACCGTCTGAGCCACCGGGGAATAAGACTGTAAACAGAGTGAAGGCAGGAATGATCCCTTGACCATTCTTGTATTCTGGGGCTTAACACTGTCCTTCTTTCTCTGAGTCTAAACATGATCAGACATTAGAGGTCATTTCCAAGTTCCATGTAGTTTGAAGGTAAATCAGTGTGAAGGCAAATCATTACTCAGTCATGTGTTTGGGCACTGAACATACTAGTTCCCTGTGTTGACATGGTTGTCTGCCTCTCAAATTAAGGACTTTAAACCTACAATGAGTTTAACCTCACTGAATTAGCTCTCCCAGTGTCAGATGGTTGTCACACCTAGAAATCAACATAATTAATTTAGGCACCATCCATTTACATTACATTCTTATTTCTCTGTATTTTTTTTACTATTATGGAAAGTTTTGTAATTTGGAGATTTGACTTTCTGAAGTTTCATAGAGGAATAGTCTTACTGGCATTGCTAGTTCATTAACAGATGTTTAATGAATTCTTTGCTCATTTCCCCTTTTTCTCTTTTCACCAAAGGAGCTGGTGGCTGGTCTCCACTTGTGTCAAATAAATACCAGTGGTTGCAGATTGACCTTGGAGAGAGAATGGAGATCACTGCCGTGGCCACCCAAGGGGGATATGGGAGCTCCAACTGGGTGACCAGCTACCTCCTGATGTTCAGCGACAGCGGCAGGAACTGGAAGCAGTATCGCCAGGAGGACAGTATCTGGGTATGTTTCTTTAACAGAATACATGGCCTCTCAGAGGAGGAAGCACGGTCATTCCTACAGGCAGTTTAGGAATCTCTTAAACTTTGTTTAGAAACAGAATCTTTGGACTTACTTAGAAAACATTTTCCAATATATTGATATTCATTTTCCAATACACTTTATGGTTTAAGAAAATACTAAAAATAAACTTATTTCACAGAGTCCTCAGAAATTGAAGAAAAAAAATCTCATTAGTGCTCTAAATAGTATGAAGATTAAAGAAAGAAACCAAGCCTGTATAAAACATTTTTTGTTCAGTAACATAGTAGTTTTGCATTGCCTTTATTTAAGGTTGGTGAAAAAAGGTTTTTTGTTATTCTGATGACTCTGAGAAATATGAATTAATGTCTCTGTCTTGTATACAGAGGTTTTATATACAACATTTAGAATATTTATATATGTCTTATACACACATATATGATTTATATATAAACCTTTCTATAGTCTTTTCAAGTGTTAAAATGCAGTGTTTTGTGGACAGGGCACAGCTGCTCTAAGGGAGACTGACCAGGAGGCAGTTCATAATGAAGTGAGTGGTACTTGTAGTTGACCAAGTATACATGCACACCTGGTGGGAGAAGGAAGCTAAAGAAAGTTTGCTTGCTGCTGAAGAAAGGGCTTCTCTTTTAGTGCAGAAAAGTATTGGTTTGGATTTTATGTGGGCCAGGGACGACATACTGCAATCAAAGAACTTTTTTTTTTTTTTTAATTTTCCTCTGACTGAGCTGCTGGAACCAGAGAAAATGAGTAACTTAATGAAGCGTTGTTCTGAGCACACAGATAATTTGGAGGCCTGTTTGGGCACATAATGATAATTTTCTTTGATCAGTCAACAGCCTTTCTTTTGAAACTTCCTAGAACTCTGTGATACATTATAAACTCACTGAAGAAAGGGACTGTGATTTATTCACCTTTGTATCTCTGAAGCACTTGGTGGCCATTCAATGCATGTTTATTGATGTAAGTTGAATTGAGAAAATGTAGCCCTGCTCTTTCTCTAGAAAGAAGGACTGTTAGGCTGGAAGAAGTTTTCTGTAAGCATTTTCAGAAAACCTGCCTTAAAATCCAAAGCAAGTTGAAGTTATGTATAAGAGTGAGAAAAATTGGATATTATGGTTGAATTAATCCAATGAAAACCATTCAAACTGGGGATAAATTAAACTGTAATTATGAACCAATAGCTATGAAAGCTTAATGAGGTATTTTTTAAACTAGGTGTTTGGATTATCTTTTACTTTTTTCTTCTAAATAAGCTTTGGATTTTAAACTAGATAAGCAGTGGCTAATATTTAGCTGTATTAAGTAAGATGTATGTTTTTGACATTTTTTTAAAGAGAAAGATTAACCATGAAAATTAATTGTTTTTCATGGATCAAGCTTGAGGAAAGCCAGACCTGAGTACTGTTTGTCTTTTTCACTTACCTTGTAAAAAGCGAGATGCTCAGGGTACATTAGTGACATGAATGATATCCTTAGCTAATTCAAACCAATCAATGTAAAGACAGATGGTATATATCACAGTTATCTGGCTTGGTAATATCCTTTTTAGACTCTGACTATGGTCAGAATGGACTAACAAATTTTGGAAGGACTGGACTATAATTTTGGACATGATAAAGAAAGCAGACAGGTAACTGAACATCAAGATCAAAACTGAGACTTGGAGCTGGTTCCATGACCACACATAAAATGGATAAGGTTATGGTGTAGGTAAAACAGCTTCAAATCTTCAAACATTGTTAATATATGTGTGTCTATACACACACGTGCATGCACACACACACACACACACACACTCATGCTGTCTGTCCACCCCACGTAGGCTCACAGTTCTCTCTTTACCCCTAATTACTCAGCTCCCTCCCCGAGGGAAGCCCCGCTCTGTGGCTCTACAATAGCAACGCAGGCAAAACGAAATATGGAGAATTGTGCCCTGGTTCCAGGTTGTTTAAAATGATCTGGCACAGATCACTTTAATGTGGGATTGTTTGTTTTGCCAAAAACCAATTTTTAATTGATGTTCATAGTAAGGAATTTAACTCTTTGTCACATTTTGCACATCTGTATTTCCTATTTCCTTTTTTTTTTCCCATTATGGGTAACGTATCTAAATTATACAAAACATGACAATTTTTTTAAGTGCTTCACAGTCTGCTCCAGATGATACAAATAAATCTGTGAAAGAGAGTTAGGGAACCCATAAAGCATTATACGAGAACGTGATGGAAAGAGGAAGAAAAGGCAGTTGTTACAAGTTTAGAAACACATAAAATAAAACCTATCAACATGGATGGAAATGCTGCCATGGGGATTCCTCATTTTCCTTCAATGTATTCTCTTCAAGCACAAGAGAGAGCAGTGACTTCTGTCCACCTGAAAGAATTCATCAAATGCCCTGCTGCTTCTTACAAATAATCCTTAAAAAAGAAAGGCAAAACACTTTCTCTGTTATCTTTATGGCCATGCATATACTTGACAGAACTGTAAATTTGAGAGAGACATATTTTTAAAAAATTAATTTTTGGATAAAATTTATAGTCCATTGCTCACAAATGTAATTTATACAAACTACTCTTTCTAGATGGCATATAAATATTTTGCAAAAAATAGAAAGTGCAAACTGCTGAAATTGTTCCTCTCAAATTGAAGACAAAATAAAATTTCTCAACATCCATGGTCAAAAGACTTTTCAGTCAGTTTATTGTAAGTGATTGGAAAAGAAAGTGTAAAGTATAATTTTCGCTCATCTAAGAACAATTTCTGGAATTTCATAAAACTAACATCTTAGAAATTATTTTAAGCAGATTAACATGTGCAGGAACTTTACAGCTGAATTGTACAAATTCTCTCTTTTACACTGCAGACTATAAGGGCAAGGGACGGGATGGTACTAATTTTATGAATTATTTAAATAAATACGATTATTATGCACAATGAGGCTTCCCTGGTGGCTCAGGCAGTAAAGAATTTGCCTGCAATGCAGGAGACTTGGATTTGATACCTGGGTAGGGAAGATCCCTTGGAGAAAAAGAATGGCAACCCATTCCAGTATTCTGGAGTATTCTGGAGCCCAGAGAGTTCCATGGACAGAGAAGCCTGGTAGGCTACAGTCCATGGTGTTGGAGTGTATTATGCACAATAGTGTACTATTTATGGGTTTCAACTGTATCTCATTTTTCAACCAAAAACCCATAATTTCATATTAACATATTTCTGAAGTTAATATAACTTTTTAAATTAAAAGTGTTGAGTGTTGTGGTTTGGCTTTGGCTAGTGAAAGACACGGAGCCCCCCATGACATGTATAGTCAATTAGACAAAAGTATCACCTGTCACCATATAGTCACGGCTTTATTATCACTGTGAATTGTTGAGTTGTCAACTCTATAAGCCCGAAAGGGCAGAAATACCACCTGCAAAGATTTTAACATGTATTTGTCTCCAGTCAAATAAATAAGTGACTCGGGTCATTTAATTGAAAATCGAATGAGGCAGACATCCAAGTGAGAGGTGTGTGGTAAGTCTGGTGGATGCCCCACTTTGTGAGGTGCACCTTTCCTAGATCTTTCCCTATGCTGACGTTTCTCCTATGTTTTTCTACTATTCTAAGCGCGCAGAAGTCATGTGTGGTGATATAAAGTGTAACAGCTCTGGTGCCCTGTATGTCAACATGTCAGATCATCAAGCTTAATGCCTTGCAATCCTTGGCTCAGAACTTGGGCAAATGCCTGGAGAGTGCTTTAAGCTGCTTCTGCCTTTCAACACAGCCTCTGTTTGAGTGCCAGAAAGATGTTTTTATTGAAAGTCTATGTGATTAGTCTGTATTCCCAGGGACTCTCCTGTTTATATTTCTATTTAACTGGGTTCTCTACCCTTTTGGAAATGATTAACCTAGGAGTGCCTGGTTGGAGGTGGCTGCACTGGGGTTTTTAATGTGACGTTGGTCATGAATCAGAACAATTAGTCTGCTAGGCACCTTCTCAATCAAGCAGCGTGGTTTATTTCACCTCGTCCCATCCATGCCCATTCTGCAACATGTTATGTCAGGCCCTTCTCATAAACTTCCTGGGCTCATGTAAATTGGAACTTTACATGAATATGTAATGTACAAATATATATATGAACTTCTGTAAACTGTGGGAACACATATGCATTGAATAAGATAAATGGCAATGTTGTTTCACATTCTTCTAATTGACCTGTCCCGAAGCAAGCAAGCAAAATAAAAATAATTTGAAGAGAGTGATTAGGGTCAGCAGATTTGATTTAATGCCCCCTTCAGAGCACACACTCACATCTAGTTTATTCTCAAAGCATCAACCAGAGGATGGCATGTTTTAAAAACACTTTACAGCTCGTGTCTCACATTCTCCCACGTGACAGTTCAGTGATGAGACACTGCCCTCTTTTCTCCCCTCTTTTCCTTACTGTGATGCAGTGCTACAGATGTCTGCTTCTGACTCTTCCCATTCCCCAGTCCCAGGAGGTACATTTGGAAATCTCTCTGGGAAGCAGTGCTGTCCTTCTGAAATGTTTCTTTATTGCTCTTTGAGTTTCAGTCAGTTAGGTCTTTTAAAAAACTAATGCATGAGCCTGTCTTTCCTATTTTACATTTAAAATTTTCAAACTTACCACACATAATCAGAGAAGAGGCTAGAAAAATATATAAAGCTAGAAAGGAGGAAAGATTTGGCATTGATACAATATATTCCTTAAAAATCTAAGAGAACATCTTATTTTTTTTTAAAAGAAAATTCAATAAATTCTGTGCCTGACAATAAAATTAATTTTTAAAACCTGTAATTTATCTTCCTATATATAAATAACTAGGTAGACAACATAAAAGGAATACATATGCTCCACTTATAATAGAACTCCCAAATGATAAATATCAAGGGAAAAAGTAAAAAGCAATTATGAGATTTATGAAGATAATATTTAGAATATTACTAAAGAACATAA